GGCAACGCCGATTTGCTTGCTGAAGATGAAAGCTCTCCATTGTCGTCAAGACAAGTCCCTGTGTTTTGTTTGAGGTGATTACACCACTGGTGCTTGAACTTGCCACGAATGTGCATTTTAGTGCCTGAACTTGAAAAATACATTGAACTAGTTCGATAACTTAACATGGACGTGCAAATACGGTTCACATCTTATATGTATACGTCCACGGCCCTGACGAGGCACCCCAAGTGTCCTGGTTTATGTGGAAAAAACCCTGAAATTGTTTTCTCCTTACATAAAAGACCTCGGTGAGAAACAACAAAACTAAAATTACTAATTGGGTGAGGGATTGAACCTGTTACCTGTACCTCTCATGTGGGAGTGGCTAACCAGCAGACAAGGTGAAATTTGTTGTCATATATATATTCACACGCTTTTTATACAGCAGGTTGAACAACATAAACAAATTAATTTATTTGATCAAAAATAGTGCCGGGTCAATTATTTGAACCTGCACCCTAATACTATATAGCGGCCACAAATACCACTCCAACCAAGAACATGTAATTTTACAAAGGATAAATTTCTCTTTATATAACATAATCGCTCGTGTGGGTAAAATGGACCATTTTCAACATTTCAGTTGATTCCAGTTTTTGTAAAACTATGTAAATTATAATTGTGTGTTATAAATGATATATATATAATTAAGTTAAAGTACATTAAAAATTCATATGATTTAATATAATATCTCCATAAATAATTTTAAAAAATAAAATATTAAGTACTAAATGAAATTAATTTTACAATTTCTAAAAGTGCTCACATTTTTAATGAAGTATTAAAGTAATTTAAGAAAGTTTTGTAATTTAAATAGATTCCCATATAATTCTAAACATTTCCACGTTATAACTAAAATATTTATGTAGTACATAAAAGCGTTCATACTTTAAGAAAAAAAGTCTTGTTTTAAAAAGTTTATATAATATATAAAAGTTTGTGTGTTTTATAAAAAAGCAAACCTTGTGCGCCCTCAGATTGCAGATCCTCACATGAATAATATTTGAATAAAATAGACATTTTTATAATTCGTAAATATTTAAATTGTATGTATATGTTTTAAAATAACACATGAATTATTTTTAAAATGGCATGTAAAATTTAAATTCTTTTTGAAATCATGTTTGTTATGTAGTCATAAATATTAATTATACTTTAGAAACATGAGACCTTTTTGGTAGAAGTGGTATCCAAGGCTGATATATAACATTTTGTCGGATGTTTGGATCACAGACCCGACACTATTTTTTGCTGGATTATTAAATTCCTTTAATTTATGTTGTTTCGCCTAGTGTACATAATGGTCATGAATCCAGTTTTGACTATACAACTGTGCTGCGGTTGACTGGCTAGCCGCGAGCTAACAGTAGTTCACTGGTTCGATTCCCTACCAGTCTAGCTTTCAGTTTTATTTCAGTCGTTTATCTGTGAGGTCCTATTTCTAAGAAAATAGTTTTAAGGGGTTTTCCAAAAAAATAGGCCGCACGCCCTGCCATTCAGTAGCTGACAGCGGGCCCCATGCCACCCCGAAATGCCTTGTCAGCATCGTGTGAGTATGCAGAAGAGATTTGAACTGTATTTGCACGCTCATGCCAGGTTATGAAACTAGTTCAATGTATCTTGAACTTGTCAGCACCAACACTGCATCTTACTTGGGCAATCATTTCCATCCCAAAGTGACACGGCAAAAGGATTTGGCTGAAAAACTCTGCAGCAGAAACACCATTTTCCAACGCGATGAAGGGAAAGGCCTATAACTCTGCACGAAATGCGCTACAGAGTGCAGCTTTCCAGCAACTCACAGATACTAGCACCCTGAAGCAATCATTGCAAGCAACAAAACAGTCCCCAATGTGGTTCCTGACCATAACCCCAATGCCCATCCGACGAATTAAGGGAAACAGGGCAGCATCAACATTGACTGCAACCATACCTACTGGCGGTTCAGTCCATTGGAGAGTTCACCACAAGGACTCACGCCTAGGAGCAGGCCCGGGCTTCGAGCACTTTTGCACGACCAATTGAACATAGGCTCAGATTTCCAGCAACTGTCTCGGATCACGAGCACATCATTCCTCTCTTCCCAGATGTGTCATATTGTGATGGCCATGACTGTAGCATGAAGCTAATCACGAGAGAGAATGTCAAACATCCGTGTGCATCCTCGTTGTCTCGACTCAACACAAGAATACAGCCTTTCCTCATCTTAGCTTTGCAACACCACAGTTCTTTCCCCTGAATTTCTTCCATTCAAAGCAGTTAACTTATTCTGCAGCAAACAAATGCTGTTATACAGAGTACTTTAGAATCAGAGAATCAGTTTAAGCAAAAGCATCCCATCGCCATTTACTGCCCACTGTCTTGAGTTATCTTCTATATATATTCAGTACCGTTCACCGGCTATAGCTGTCATATGTATATTCAGTACCGTTCACCAGCTACAACTGCCATGTTACCGATGCTGATCTTGGTTGTCTAGCGACGCCAGTACTGAAACGAAGCCAAGGCCATTCTGCCTCTTTGGGCCAAGCAATTCAAGTTCCCTGTTCCATATAGTCTCTACTCTTAATGAAGCAGTTGGTAGTCTCGCTTCCAGGGTTTTTTCCGTCCCACCACTTTCGTCCGATTTTTTTTTCGTAGGTTAACCGTCGTAGATTTTTTTCGTCGCCTCCCCCACTTCATCGGTTTATTTTCACTTCACCCTCTCACACAACGAAAAAAACTGAACGGATCAGAACTTTCCATACTGACGCAAATTATTTAGTAATGTCTTCATGTAAAAGAATCAATCACAATCAATCTCTAAAGATCAAATCTAAATTAATTAATCTCTACTCCTAATGGAGCAGTTGGTAGTCTCGCTTCCAGGTTTTTTTTCGTCCCACCACTTTCGTTCGGTTTTTTTTCGTAGGTTAACCGTCGTAGATTTTTTTCGTCGCCTCTCCCACTTCATCGGTTTATTTTCACTTCACCCTCTCACACAACGAAAAAACTGAACGGATCAGAACTTTCCATACTGACGCAAATTATTTAGTAATGTCTTTATGTAAAAGAATCAATCACAATCAATCTCCAAAGATCAAATCTAAATTAATTAATCTTCATAATGTTTGTTTCCTTCTGAATCACGTCCATAACTTTCCTTCCTTGTTTGGATAGAAACTGTTTGGTAGCAGAGATTAGGAAGCTTCCTATGAGTGTAGTAATAGGACGTATTCTTTTTCTTGATGATTCGTTTTCATGCATGATGATAGTAAATTAGGCCAACATTCACCACTATTTATCAACGTCATCAATCGTATCCATTCCTACCAGTTTTAAGGGAATCTGCTCGCTATGTCTTTTTTAAGGGGATCCGCTCGCTAAGTCGTCGTCGCACGTTATTTTCACAAGCAATTCCCCTAAAAAAAGGCGTGGGTATTGGTAGTTGAACGCCCGCTAGGTTTTCCGCCTGTCCTATCCTCGCGCTGTGCCGCCGCCACCCGCCGAATTTCCAGCCGCCCGAGCCCGTTAACTTCGCCAGCCATCGGGTCGACTGCCCCCGCCCCAAACCCCCATCCCCGAGCACTAGCTATCGCCGCGTTGCCGCCCCAAGCTCCACGCCACCGATAACGAATCAAGCGCCGTCCCGACACCGCCGTCGCCGGCCCATCACCTCCAGCCTTGCATGGACAGCTTCAATGTGCAGTCTCCCTTGCTGCCTTACCTTCTGCCAGCGCATGCAGCGGCGGGGTTGGACGCGTGCGTGCTTGCTAGCTTGCTCTCCGTGCGTACGTAGTTGCTTTGCGTGCGTCGCACCGGCCAATGCGCATAATGCGTGTGTGCCTGCTTTTCTGCATGTGTATGCCAGCGTGATGCGTGTGTGCATTGCTGTGTGTGTATGATATAGATGGCCCGAGTGTGTGCATGCTGTGCTCTGCTCTCTGCTGATCTATGTGTTGGTGCTCCTGCTATATGTTCATGCCATACAAATGAAATTTCTGTTAATCTTCTGACATGTTGAGTTGGTTCTCTCTGTCTTCTGAGGGGGTGAATGCAAAGCAGTCTATTAAGCCAGGCACTATTGCTGAGCTAAATAGACAAAAAAATATTGGTAGCCATAGTTGTAGTTTAAGTAGTAGCGAGTTGTCTGATATGTATAAAGAGCCCGTTGCAATTGAGCCCGTTGCTAAATTGACAAAAAAGGTCGCCAGTGTCACTTGATATGTATGAGAATATTAAATGTATTATTAACATGATTAATATTGAACTCTTAAAGTTAATGTGGCCCCGTTGCAACGCACGGGCGTTCTTCTAGTAGAAACAGTTATACAGGTGAGCTTCTAAAATCAAGTGCGAGAATGCCGAAAAGGATCACGAGTTCAGTGGCGATCGGGTATGCGTGTAGTACCTTCAAACGATATGTTGTAGTTGTTGGACTAGCCTAACTGACGTACAAGCATTACGAGCGTGCCAAGATACACTAGCTTTGAAAGAGACAGAATGTGGAAAGCAATCCATGTCTTTAAGTTCCATGTACGCAGCCGAAGCCATAGCCACAACTTTTCATGGACTTTGACTTGACCCATTCAGCGTCAACTTGTCCAGTGCTGAAAAGAATATAGCACAAATAAGATTTATGTGGACAAGTCTCTGGAGCACTTAATTTCTCTTCCAGGTCTCTGTTTTGAGTAGAAACTGCACGTCTTACTTGGGCCATCATTTTCCTTCCACGAGTGGCACGGCAAAAGGATTTGACTGAAGGAAGCAAGAAAAGTCTTGACCAGAAACACAATTTACTGACGCGGTGAGCAGGAAACACCTATAACTCTGCACCGAGTGCGCATTTATCAATCATCTATCTCCCCGGAATATCAGAGGAGGATTGCTTTGCGGTACAGTGCGGCTTGCCAGCAACCCACAGATGTTAGCACCCTTAAGCGATCATCCTACCTGCATAAACTGATCGATCGATCAGGATGAAGATATTCAGGGCGCAAGGTAATCCTTGTGCCACAGCTCCGTATATATTTCTCATGCAGTTGCTCCTTCTCTGCCTGTGTTTATTCTGCACCGGTTCCGCCCAATCCAGCCTTACCAAATGCCCCGGCAGCTCCATCAACATCCCATCCCCTTTCAACATCCCTGACAACTCGAGCATCTCGAGGAATCCAGGCTTCGACATATCATGTGAATCAACAGGGCCAATGATATCGCTCGGTCGCAAGCAGTACAGGGTCCTGGGCATCTCGCTGCTCCAGGGCTATGTACGTGTAACCGGTCACACCGTCTACACCCAGTGCCAGCAGAACGCTGGCCCGGTGACCACAAACTTCATTGACCTTCGGGGCACGCCTTTCACCTTCTCACACACACTTAACAAGTTCACCGTCGTTGGCTGTGACTCCATGGCCATGATACAAAGCCCGGACGTAACGAGTCGGTACAGGGGAGGCTGCGTGTCGTTCTGCGCTTCCGAGGGAAGCATCACCAGTGGCGCATGCTCTGGGGTGGGCTGCTGTCAAGCTTCAGTGCCCGAGGAACTCAAGGTACTGAAGTTAGAGTTTACCAGCATACGGAGCCAGCTCCTGCAGTCCTCCGGATCTTTGGGGAACATCAGTAAAAGCAGTAGCGCATGGTGCAGCAAGGCGTTCATTGTGGACCAAGGTTCCTATGTGTTCTCCAGGGATCACTTGGACAGAAACCTGACAAACCTGCCAATGGTACTTGACTGGTCTATATCCGGCGGCAACTGCTCAGAGGCGCGTAGTGCGCCTCAGACCTACATGTGCAAGGAGAACACCGATTGTTATACCGTGGCAAATAACACTGCATACCGCTGCAACTGTTCTGAAGGTTTCACTGGGAACCCTTATCTGGGATGCCAAGGTGAGAAATTCATGCTTGCAATAGATGACACCTTTATGCTTTGATTGCCACTAACTTAGAATATATGCCTTATTCTGATTTCCCTTTCTCTACAAGATATTGATGAATGCAAAGACAAAAATAAGTATCCCTGCATGCACAGGCACAAGTGCATCAACACAGTTGGTGGTTTTAACTGTGCATGCCCCATGGGCATGACGGGGGATGGTAAGAAGCAGGGCACTGGGTGCAAAAGAGATACAACGCTACTGATTGCTGCAGGCAAGTTTCACATGGTCTTATAAAATTTTCCCTTTTGAAATGATCTGCTCAATCTGAATGAACGAGCACTTATTCATGAAAGTTCCTACTCTCTTTTTTAGGTGGAGGCCTGCCTTTGCTGCTTGTCCTCCTCATGCTCGGATTCTGGACCCACTGGCTTTTCACGAAGAGAAAGCTTGCGAAGATAAGACAGAAATACTTTTTGCAGAATGGTGGCATGCTCCTGAAGCAGCAGATGTTTTCTCAGAGGGCGCCGTTGAGGATATTCACCTCTAGCGAGCTTGAAAAGGCAACCAACAGATTCAGTGATGACAACATAGCTGGCCGAGGTGGGTTTGGAACGGTCTACAAAGGCATACTATCTGATCAAATGGTTGTGGCGATCAAGAAGGCGCAGCGAGTTGATCAGAGCCAGGTGGAACAATTCGTTAATGAGATGGTCATTCTCTCACAAGTGAACCATGAGAATGTGGTCCAGCTAGTTGGTTGTTGTCTCGAGTCAGAAGTTCCATTGTTGGTTTATGAATTCATCACCAACGGGGCCCTTTTTCACCACCTCCACAACACATCAGCCCCGATGTCGTGGAAGGAACGCCTAAGGATTGCAGTGGAAACTGCAACAGCACTTGCCTACTTGCACATGGCCACAGAAATGCCAATTATTCACAGAGATGTCAAGTCGTCAAACATACTCCTTGACGAGAGCTTCACGGCGAAGGTCTCCGATTTTGGTGCTTCGAGGCCAATGGCCCATAATCAGACCCATGTGACGACCTTAGTGCAGGGGACACTGGGGTACATGGACCCTGAGTACTTCCAGACAAGCCAACTGACAGAGAGAAGTGACGTCTATAGCTTTGGTGTAGTACTTATCGAGCTATTGACAAGGCAGAAACCAATATTTGGCGGTAAGATGGATGAGGTGAGAAGCCTAGCATTGCATTTCAGTATACTATTCCATGAGAACCGGTTGTCCGAAATTGTAGATCCTCAGGTAGACGAGGAAGCTGGGGCTAGACATGTTAAAACTGTGGCACAGCTGGCCTTGCGTTGCTTAAGGCTGAAAGGTGAGGAGAGGCCAAGGATGGTAGAGGTTGCAGTCGAACTTGAAGCGCTGCGAAGACTAATGAAACAACACTGCATAGTCAATTCTGAAGAGTGAACAAGAGTGTTGTGTACCAGACTTGCTAGACTTTACAATTTATGATTCAGTAAGCATATTGATTTGGCAAGGATGTGGACACAAGACCGAGCGACTAAGAGTCTCATCTACGGAGTCTCGGTGCGATGAGGAAATGAATATTGTTCATGAACTAAGCTAGCTGTTGTAGTAGTTAGTGGCCTGCATATGGCTTTCCAGTAATACGAAAGACAAAGTACATCCTATAAATTACAGAATGAACAACATTGCATGGTTAGACAACACCAAGCAAATTCATCTTTTGTTTATCCTGTAACTGTAAGTATGCAGGAGACAAGAGTTTACCTGGTGCAGTGGTGCTAGAAGGTGAATACATCATTCCTTGGCTGTATTTCTTAAAATATAAACACTAAACAGGTCATAATGGGAAATAAGTGTTTGTCAATTTACTAATTTTTATCTAAAAATTCCAGATTGAATTGGCTCAAGGAAACACCCTTCTCAACAACCAACATCTTATCGTTTACAAGAAAACAATTTAAGGAATTATTGCTACCAGGCTTCTTCCCCTACGCGGAAGTAATTATTGAAGTCAAGTAATTTCAATGCGCGGAGGAACACAGTTCAGTTTTACGATTAAACGGATTTCAGCGGTGGCACATTGGATTTGGATCTTACCTAAGTGGCCGCCGCCGGCGCATCCCCTCCGCTCCGCCGCACATGGCCCTTCGTTGCCACGCGAACCGCCAGCATGGGGGAGGACGGCCGCGCCTCCCTCCTCGTTCTCCTACTCTCCGGCGGCTCCCTCGCCCCCTTCCCTCGTCGCCGATGCGCACAGGAAGATGAGGAACTAGTGGTACTTTTCTTTCTTTTTGTTTAGAATCAGATGAGGAACTGGCGAGGCTAGAGCTGGGCCCACTAGGACGGTTAGTTCGCAGGATGGGCTTTAGCTTTTAAGATGATTTGCCGCACCATGGCAAGGAGTAGATGGGCTCTCGCGGAGCCAGAGCTAGTGTCAAAGATGGCAGATAATGTGAAACCACGGGCGAAGAATTGACTTTCCGAGTTAAGTGAAACTTTGGATGACTACTCGTTTACATCAATGGTTATCACACTTTGGGCCATTTGATACGCAAGGAGGAAAGCAATACACGAAGGAATTTTTCAGTCTCCACAGCAGACATCATCTTTCGTGACATCGTACATGAATGAGCTGGGCCAGCTGGTCCCTGTTGTGCCGAGGCAAGTTCCAGGTGCTGCCCAACATTCTCCCAAGTCCTGGATAGCCTCACCAGTGGGAGTGGCGAAGATGAACTTAGATGCAGCGGTATTGCGCAACAAACGAGGAGGAGCAGTGGCCGCCATTTGCCGAGACCACACAGGGTTATACCTTGGGTCTTCGGCTGTTCTGGTTCGAGGCATCAATGACTCAATGATACTGGAAACTTTTGCTTGCAGTGAAGCATTGGCACTAGCAGATGATCTAAATATTCAGAGGGTGGTGGTTGCATTGGATAGACTGGGTGTGGTGAAGGTCATTGACGCTGGAACAAGGGGCCTTCATTCGGCAATAGTACATGGAATAATAGAGCGTAGCAATAGGTTTACTTTATGTTCTTTTTCTTCATGAGCGTAGGAACCACAATTTTGAAGCTCATAATCTCGTCAAATCGGCCTATAATCTAGGCTTAGGTAGGTTTGGTTGGGCACTCCTCATGACCCGAACCGTGTACCTATGAATATTCTTATTGAGTAATAAAATGACGAGATTTCTAAAAAACCATATTTTCTAATGTTCAAATTTTTTAGAAATTATTTCTTGATTTTAAATTAATTACCAGGTATTTTAAAATATATTTAGAAATTCTAGAAAATTCACATGTTTTCGAAAAGTTCATGATTTCTGAGAAAAAAACATGAATTCGAAATATGTTCCGATATTTTTAAGTTTCGTATTTTTTAAAAAATATGTATTTTAAAAATGTTAAAAAAACTAAAATATTCATGAGAATATATATAAATAATGAATTTTAGAACAATCAGAAATTTTTAAAAGTTCATGAATTTTCCTTTAAAATGGATGATACAAAGTAAATGAAAATTTTAAAAAGGAACAAAATCAAGTTGAAAAACTTGCAAAATACTTTCCAGAAGGTTCCCAAAACCACTAAAAGAAAAACCTATATGGGCTGGCCCACATAAATAATTAAAGCTGGAAAGGTGTGTGATATGTACCAATTGGCTACTATTTGGTGCAAAACTAATGAGAGGGTACATCTTTGGAGGAACCCAGCGGACACTTTTGATGGACTGGGAGCGTGTCACTTGGTGTGTTTAGCTGGCACCACATGTCGAGCAGTTGGCGCACTTGTGGGATCTCGATTTTTAATTTTTTGCACACCTTTTGGGGTTTTCCCAAAAAAAATGGGTTTTCGTGTTTTGCTTGTGGTTTTCATGACTTTTGTTACTGTGCTTCTCAAAAGTGAAAAACACAACTACGCAACGGCGTGAAGCACATCTATGCTTCCAACTATTGTGCTTTTTCAAAAAGTGAAAAGTACAATTGTGCGACCAAAAGAAGCACAACTGTGCTACTCGAAAAGTGAAATGAAGCACAACAGTGTTTTCTGCGCGAGGCACAAATGTGCTTCCCTGCAAGTGAAAAGCACAGTTGTGCTTTTGGTGAAGAACTGTGCTTCTCAAAAAGTGAAATGAAACACACCAGTGTTTTTCGCGAGTCAGAATTGTGTGTTGTGCTTCCCGAAAAGTGAAAAATACATATGTGCTTCAAGAAAAGTGAAAAGCACAACTGTCCTTTCTTTTTTTTCTCGGGCTTACATTTTATTCTTTCGCCTTTTGTTTTTTTCTATGTCTCCGGTTTTATTCTATTTATGGTTTTTATCCATTTTTTTGTGTTTATTCTTGTTTTCGGGCTTTTTTGATTTCCTGTTTCTTAAAGTAAAAAAGCTCATTCAAACCTGTCAACTGGGTTATAGTCTTGAAGGTCTCGATGTGAGATAGCCAACGATGGAAAATGCAAAACTGTCGGGTTGTGACAAGTGTCACACATGCGGTGTGTCACTTGTCACCACGAGAGAAGGTAGGAGTGACCTATGCAAGGGGGCACCCTCTAATTAGTGATCTTATGGAGTGCCCCTATACTATACCTAGCCATGGGAAGCTCGACCCGGATGGCCTGCGTGTGCCATTGGGTCGGGCTCAGGCCTGGAAAATGTGCCCGACGAGCAGATCGGGCCGGGCTCGGGCTTGCAAAAAAATAGATTTTAGCCGTAGTCGTGTCAGGCCGACCGGTCCATGTTGGCCTTTTTTTGGCTCGGGCCGGACTTGAGCTTGATTTATTACGGTCAGGCCGGGTCGGGCTCAGGCCTAGGTTTTCAGCGCCGGGCCATTTTCAGCCCAGCCCGACATATGCCCAGGTATTACCCTATAGAACGCATTGTGTCTACTTGGCAGGGAAGCGCTAGCGCCCATTTCATTATTTTCTCTAGGTTTCGGAGGCCCAACTTACTTTACAAGAAGGTTTTTCTTTTAGATTTTTTTCTCTAGTTTTTCATTTGGTCTTTGTTTTTTCTTTTCATTATTGAACATTTGTAAGAGTTTACCTTTTTCAAAAAATGTGAATATTTGGAAAATTTTACAATTCACGAAAATTTATAAGAAACGTGAACAATTTTTATATGTGGTAACATTTATAAAATTTGTGAACAAATTTTAAAAATATAAAATTCAGAAAAATAATGCTCGGTTTTTAAAATAAAAATCTTGAAGAATATTTTAATCCGTAAATATTTTTTATGAAATCTTGAACATTTTTACAATGCATTTAAAACTCCTGGGTATTTTTCAACTATATAGAGAGAATATTTGCAAACACGAAATACAAAAAGGAAACAAAAATATAAAGAACTTGAAACATACGTACGTGTACACTTACAATTTGTGTGTAGCATTCGAGACTTGAGTGACCATGCACACTGTAAGACGAGAAACAAAGTCTAGCACACCTTGCTGTGATGAGTTTCTTTGATCCTAAATTTCACTTCACAGACCAGATGTGCATGCAATGATTTCTTCTCATCACGGACGTCCTACTTGGATCATGGTAATGGTTGACCAGTGGTTCATTGTTGACTGAACTAAGAGATTCGGTCTCTGGCTCATAACTGTTCGCACACAAACACGTCATCGTGTACCCTCAACATCGGGGGTGATACACCGCAGCTCACGTCGAAGGAGACCCGTCCGAAAGCGCGGTACGCAAGCAATCCGGCAGACGTTTTTGTAGACCCGAAACCCCACATGCCCGGGAGGGACCCCGTCAGGGCGCGCGACAGCTATGGGCTTCCCTAAGTCGACTTGATAGCCCCTAGGGCCTCGATGTTTGCTGCCCTGCAACAAGAAGAACGAAAAAAGAACGAGAAGAAGAAGAAAAGGGAGAAGATAAAAGTAAAGGTAAAAACTGGTAAATGAATTGATCGATTGTATGTTGTTTAATCGGCCGCCACTCCTTAGGTATATAAGAGGCGAATGGACTTCCCGTGTAAGAAAAGGTTAGAATTCACGTTCAAAACTCTAGTTTGGGTCCAACTCGAAATCCAAACTATGCAAAACTGTTTGGTTTACAACCGGCTGCACCTTATGGGTCACTTTTGAGGTAGTAAATAATCTTGGATGGAAACGAGCCCAAAAGCAATCTTGACCATTTCAACGAGACGAACAACTTTCATGTTGAATGTTTTTTGATCAGAGGCCATCTTGAGAGGGTTTTCGGTTGTTTTCTGAAGTCTGCAGCAGAGAAATCCAAAAACCTGGACGAACATCCCCGAAGTGTCCGGCTATCCCCGGAGAAATTCAAAACCTTGATTATTTTCGGAGTGTCCGACCATCCTGATGCAACCGCGCATTTTCGGCACTAACTTTTGCATACGAACTCGGTTTGAGACGTTTTTTACATGAAAATCAGCCGCTTTGACGAGATGCAAAACTTTCATGTTGAAACT